TTTAAGCTCCTGCACCCCAAAGAGTGAAAAAGTTCTGAAAGATAGAAAAATAGATAGAGAGGTAGATAGATAGATAGATAGATAAATAGATAAATAGATAATAGAGAGATAATAGATAGATGATAGAAGTTTGAGTTAATCTTCCAGCAGAAGAGTGAGCAGAAACAGCTGCATATTGTGTATGAAAGTGCTTTCATTTTGGTGAAAGGACAGATTTTTTCTGGAAAGAAGTTAGTTTGAGTTTAAGGGCCTTCAAAATGATGCACATCCACATTCTGTGTACATAGCTCTGCTACATTTCATACTGCAAACTCTGACTATTTCAGAAAAACACTTTTTGGATGCTTTTTATCTATATTTAGGATGCCGTCCTCACTCCAACCATGTAACAACCACTCATTCTCATTTAGGTTCCTCTCCTTGTGCCTTTTATTCCTTGTCCCTCCAAGAACATCTAAGAGCAGCTTGACTGAAGTGTCAGACACTAAAGAGACAGGTGGAAAGAAGTGCCCAAAAATACTCTTTGTATTTTAGGTAATTAAATGAAAGGACTAAATTGAGCCTTTAAAATACAAGAGGAAAAAAAAAGAGCTTCATGAGTCTTGATAATAATTTTTAAGTAGCTTATATCTTTTCCTGTGAACATAGTTTTTGAAGTGTCATTTCAAGGTTTTTGTAGCAAAGCTGATTGTGATTATAAACTTGTGAGGTAGGAATGAAACTTTCCTGATTTCTGCAGAAGAAGGCTGCTTAGAAAGGGTGGAGATCACATTTCTATTCACAGAGCTCTGGTGCAGCCTGTCAAAAACCTGAAGTGAACTGGAGGCACCGAAACCCAGATTCTTCCTCAATATGCCTATATATATTTACCTATTTATCTATTTATATATTTAAAACAAGAATGCACATAAGGATTTCTATATAACATATTTTCTTGTTATATGTCCAGCAGTATCCAAAATTTCTTAATTTATTCTTAATTATCTTCATTTATTGAATTTCTACTTCTTATGCCCAGCAGTATCTTAAATATCTTCCTAAATAATTATTTTTTACCATGCTGTTTCTGGTACTTAACAGATAGTGGAGGAAAAGACCTCATTTTTTTTTGTCGTTTTTTTACCTTCTCCTTTAGCTCCTGCTTCTTAGAATTATAAAGTTTATCTGGGGACTAAACTCCAACTTGCTTTCCCTTTTGAAGGAGCAGTAAAATTGGTTATTTTAGCTAAGTAGAGTTGCCTGTCTTCTAACACTTGGACTGTGAAAAGTAGCTTGAGGATAATCTCACCACTTCAGTACAGTAATATTATATAAAATATTAAATACTGCAATACAGAATGTCTTATTTAATAATACCTACTTGTAACAATGAGAGTAATTCTTCACTCAACAGTTTTCCCTTCAGTTATTGCCTTAGAAATAACTCAGAGTCTAAAAAGGACACTACTTTTAGGGAATATATTAATTCCAGTATATCAATATATTAATTATATAATAATATATTTTAATATGAATATATTTATATATTACTATAAAACATTATTCTATTATATTCCAATCTAATATTTTAATATTAATATATTTTATATTCATATATTATTTTTCATTAATTTCAGGGATTTGGTTTATCCAGATTCCATCCATATCTGTGCCTTGGAATGGGCCCTGCAGTGACTGCTCAGTTCTTTGTGTTTTCTGTCCCTTCAGATTTCATTGGTTTTGTCACTGTGGTGCAGTAAAATCAGTCTCATGGCAGGGAATTTCCTCAGAGCAAGGAAATGTGCCTGTAATAAAAGTAGTTCCTCATGATCACAAAAACCTCTAACACACAAGGTGATGTTTATTTAATTAGTATTAATTAGTGTAGCTAATTCTAGAAGGAAATCACCCAGGTTTGGGAAAGATGATGTTAATTCCTGTCTTTCTACCCTTACTGCGTATAAACACTTCTGTATTGTACAAACCTTGGCACTTTTCTCCTGACTGTAAAACCACAAATACATCAAATGATAAACTAAATATGTGCTGTGTTTTACCCATTTACAAATGGTTGGGAGAGGATCATTATTATTCAGGAAAGAAGGAGTGAATGTGTTCTGAACACATTTCAGGAGAGTGCCCAAGGGCTGAGCATTGTCCTCCTGTACCTCAAATTCATTTCCTTCCAGCTCAGTCACCTGAGACAACCTCCAGCTGCAAAGTGAGGATAGCAAATGACATTTTATCAAAGTTGAGTCCACAGAAGAGCTCCATGCTCCTACTGAAATGTTAAAGTCTGTATTTTTAGCGCAGAACGAATCCGAGGCATTCGGAATTGCTGGCACCGAAACGTGAAATCCGTGCCTATGTATTCCATAGATGCAAATTCCTCATAAGGAAGCAATAACAGCTAAAATGACATTATTCCTGAACAACCAGAGGCTGTTCTCACTCACACAGAGAGGCCAAGCCAGCCCTGGAATGCTCAAAACCATGTCCTGAAAGAAGTGCAGAGTCGGAGGAATCCTGAGCCCCCCGAGCCACCAGAGAGGAGAGGGAGATGCCCAGGAATGCTCCAGCAGGAAGTGCTTGTGGTTAAAAACAGGAGCAACCACATGAATCAGAGGTTTGAGGAGACAGCCAGACGACACTGATGGCAAAAAAATATTAATGCACAGAAAATAAAAATAAAAAGGAACCCGAGAAGAATTAAAAGGCGCCAAAAGATCCCTGTGTGTTTGGTTTCAGGAGAACAGAAGGGTAAAACCCAAATGGCTCAAAGTTTAGACAATTAAACTTTCTTACTGTTAAAAAAATAAATCTCAATTTGTCCTCCTTTGCCATCTGGAAGTTTTCTCTTAAACAAATGAAGGAAACACACACAACACAAAAATGCTTCTCATTTTCATCTGCACACCCACTGAAAGATCTCCGCATGACAAAGCCCAGGACGTTGCACTTTCAACCTTGCACAGCTCTGTGGAGACCCCTGGAGCTATCAGGGATTATCCATAACCTTCCTCTCATGTGCTAACAAGTGGAATTTCATAAAAATATGGAAATGCACCATGTTTCAACATTGGTGACACGTGGGGAAAGCAATTTCAATTATCCCACACCGAGTAGGCAGGAAAAGATTTCCTGCACATAAACCATGTTATGGTACTTAGAAAATAATGTCGTTTTCTCAGCCCTTTCTTTCAGAATTGAACAGGTTCTTTAATGCTTTAAATCCTTTTTTATTTTTAGGGAGTAGTGATGCAAAGGAGAACATCTCAAAACAAAGCACCACCATCCTAATTTGTCCCTGGCAGCAGGGCAGAGCTCGCCCAACCCACAGCACTTTTCCCCTGGAAGGAGATCAGAGCACTGCAGACACTCAGTTAATTTGTGGGGTTGCTCACATCTGCAGATGATTAAAGAGATGCTGCCACTTTCCACGTGAAATGAGGAATATAAAAGCATGAATTAATGCTTGTACTGAAAAGAGCTCTTTCCTCCCAATAAGTCCAAAATGCTCCTCAAGAAGGGTTTAATGGAGGGAGCATCCTGCTGGAGCCTGGAAGCTGCAGGCATCTGCAGCTTTAATAATAATTAACACGTTGATTTTAACAATAATTGAACACGTTGATTATTCCATCCAGTTTGTTCAGCTCATTAGTGAGGAAATGGGAATTGTCCAGGGTTAGGTGGGACTGACCTCCACCTGGCTGTGTTTCAGCCTGGGTTTCCTATTCCTTTTCTTTAGCTATATGATGTCAAATGTGATAAAAATGAGGCCAATCTAGTAAAAAAATGGGGTTTATTTGTGGGGGGAACATGTGATTTGGAAGTCACAAGACTTTGCTCTGCTCTGGCTTTGCCAGTGTCTCTCCACAAGCACAGGCTGCTCTAACCCAGGAGCTGCAGCAGTGGCCATCCAGGACAGAGCAAAAATGGGGCTCTCACTAATTCTGGGGGATAAAATCCCCAGAGGAATTTTGGCCATGCCCCATATTCTTAGAACCACTTTAGAACCACAATAAAACAATGAATATTACTATGTCTCTGCTTTTTTACTGTCTTTAGTTTTGCCTGTAAAGGGAAACATATGCAATTTTTAGGTGGTTTTAATTATTATTATTATACATCTAATCCAGAAGATAAGAAATTGAATAGAAAATAAATTGCTTTTGCTCGTCTGATGGTGCTTCCTGATCAAATAACTAAACTGAAAAGCAAAGAGGAAATGGGTATGTTCTGTTAGCTGTGCCAAACAAAATTCTGTTCAGCTGAAATCCAAGCTGCGTTCTGATAAATTTATCTTGGTGGCACCAAGCAACTCAATCTAATTTCAATTTTTCCAAAGAGTTCTGGTGTATTTTAAACAGCACACACAGGAGAGATGCCTCAAACAAGGAGAGGGGGAAAGAATCCATTTCTTCTTTCATAAAATCTCCTACTCTCCTTGATTAAATAACAGGAAATAAATTCAGTACCTCTAAACAAGGAGTAATTGATTTCTACAGGTTAACACAACTAATGGTGTGCTCTGTTAAGCCTCAGAAAAGTGAATATAAGATTATTCTTCTCATTTCATGCATGAAATCAATGCTTTCATCTTGCCTGACACAGGCTTTGAGGGGCTTACTTCAAGTCTATTTATTTGATCAACAATTCTGTGATCAACAGAGGTGTCCCTTTCCTCTGCTCACTGATTGTAATGATGGGTGTTTTGTCAAATTTTATGGGATTCAAGTCTTCCAGAGATTTTGATGGACATTTTTTGTCAAAACTGAGTGGTAACATCAATCAGGTTTCCACATTCCTGGGAATTCAGATTTCCATCACAGACAGCCCACTTACTTTTGTTTTCAGGAGCTCAGCTGGCGTTCTTATGGTAAAATCTTTCAAACCTGCTTGTACCTGAAGTGTCAAAACAATGCCAAAATCTATCAATGTAATTTTCATTTTTGCGTGTAAAATTGGGCATCTGCTCATGTGCATTTAAATCTCTCTCTCTCTCTCTCTCTCTCTTCCAGTGATCAGAGCAAAAATATCCAGTGAAAAGGTGGTTCCTGCCAGCGATGATCCCCTTGATACCCACAAAATGATCCGGTATGAAATCAAACAAATAAAGGTACATGGAATCACTCAGCTTTTTTGAAGTTCAATGCTGATAACCTCTGCATCTTTCAGCCCAAAATAATTTACCCCAAAATGCTGGGAGAGCTGCTCCAGCTGCCCCCACAGTTAGACCCAGATGAAGAAATCACAGGAGGGATTAAAAAAGGGGAAAGAAAAACAAAGAAAAGGAAAATTTTAATGAATCTTTGCATTTTAAGGGTATAATAAAATGTCTGCTTAAGAAATAAATACATCAATGCCAGAGAATTCCCTTTCCTCCCACTGGCACTTTAATGTTCTGCTGCTACTCTGCAGCAGAGGAACTTGAGAGATATTCAGGAGGTTTTTGCAAAAAAATTATATTTGCTAAAAAATTATATTTTGATGAAGAATTTTGCTAAATAATGATATTCAGGAGGTGGGGTTTTTTTTGATGTTCAGGAGGTTTTGCTAAATAATGATATTTTGATGAAGAATTTCACTAAATAATGATATTCAGAATGTTTTTTTTGATATTCAGGTTTTTGCTAGATAATGGTATTCAGGAGGTGGGGTATTTTTATATGCAGGAGGTTTTTGCTAAATAATTACATTCAGAAGGGTTTTTTTTTGATATTCAGGAGTTCAGCAAATATTTTTCTGATATTCAGGATATTCAGCAAAAATTCATTATTTGCTAAATAATGATATTTTGATGAAGAATTTTGCTGAATGATGATTTTGAAGGCACCAAAAATGTGCTTCATTCTGTGAGTGCTGTCAGCCCATCTGGGTTTGGAGGATTCCTGGTCACCTGTGCTCTGAGTGTGGCAGCTCTGCATGACCCAAACTTTGCAAGGAGAGGGGAGCATTTCAGCTGAGGGAGCAAAGCCTCTGTTCATTGTGAGCAGGGATATTTGCAGGGCCAGGAGTCCTTCCCTCATACTCACACAAACAAAAATCCATTTGTATGAAAGCTGCCGGGGAAGCAAACACCCAAAGACACAGATTCAGAATCTCACAGGGTTTCCCCACCCTTTGTTCAGCTCCAATAAGGAGATATATTCATTAATGAAATTTGAGAAGACATGCCTTGAGCCCATGGAAGTCACCATCAAACTCTCACTGGTGCTAAAATGATCGTGATGATGATTATTAAAATGATCATTTACTTTTTTGTGGAACATACAAGAAGTAGGTAATCTCTCTAAATTAAAATGTGAGAGTGAGGTGGATTGGCACATTAAAATGTGCACAGGTGAGGTGGATTGGTGGGTTGGTTTTTAAGGTAGTTTCATTTTTCACTGAATATTATTTTATAATTGTTGCACTTTTCCATTTACTGGGAACACTTAAGAAGGTCGTTATGCATGACTACATGCTTTCAAAAATAAAATAAATTCAATCAGTCAAGTTGTACCCACTGATAGAATCCCCTCACAGGAGCTTGAGTAGGAAGAATCTCTGGTAAACAAGAATATCTCCAAGTATTGACAGGGGTGGTTGTCACATGTGACTCCTTGTAAGGTTTTACAGCAATTTCAACAAGTCAGTCTCTACCTTGCTAAAACAAACCCCAAAGCTGTCCCCATCAGGCACTTCCCATCTTCTTAAATGTTAAGGATTTATTCAAATGTTTCTTTACAGAAATAAATACACCAATGCCAGAGAATTCCCTTTCCTCCCACTGGCACTTCAGTGTTCTGCTGCTACTCTGCAGCACTTCAGGAGCTTGAGAGAAATGCAAATCATCCTCTACCTCAGCACAAACAAGAAGAATGAGAAATCTAATCTGAGTGATTATTTTCAGCCTATAATCCCACTCTTTAGCACACTGAACCTCTGAAATATATTTATGTGTTGAAACTGCTTTGGAGTTTCTCCCTAATTTTCAGCAGTGGAGGCTGTTCAAAACTCAGGCAGCAGAAAGAGGTGTTTATTTAATTCCAAGTCAGCCAGGCCTGGACAAAGCAGAGATGAGTTTTTAATAAAGATGCTCTACATCATCACACAAAATACTCTTTTCCTGACCCAGAAATGGGCCAGAGAGTAGCGTTTTAAAAACTTTTATTCAATTTACACTAATAACAGAAGGGTTGTGATAACCCCTACCCCTCAAATCCTTCCTCCTGACCAGAGAGAGCTCAGGAAACCTTCCCCTGCCCCAGGACCCAGCTTCTTGCTCCAGGCAGGGAGGGATTTTGGGAAGGGAAGGATTTCTGGGGGAAAACAGGAGCTCTGTGACCTGCCCACCCTCTGTGCACACAGTGTGACACCAAAATAAACCCAGCAAGGCAACTGTGCCTGATAAACCCCACAGGAGTGACAGGGAGGGGTAACCTCTGACATCCAAGGAATGTAACTGAGGTGAAAATTAAACATGCTGAACAATTAGTCAGCTGAGCTCAGAGCAAGAGCTTGAGCACACCATGTCTCACCTCGGATGGCAGCATTTTGAAGAACTGAACTCCACAGTGTGTGTGAAAGGTGAGGATATTCCACCATTCCAGTCTCTCCCAAGTGCTGCTGCTTTCTCCCGAAGCCCTGCAGTCCCACACGCTGCAGGGTCCTTTGGGTGTCCAGTGGCCCTGACACAGGGCTCTGGGTAATCTCACCATCCTCGCTGCCCCCTCTGGACGTGCTTGAGTGTCTCAATGTCCTTCCCAAACTGAGGGGCCAGAACTGGACACAGCACTCGAGGTGCTCTGCAAGCCCAGGGTGGGGGAAGAGAATTTGCTTTATGTAACACAGCAGGGAAGAACAGACCCCCAGTCATCTCTTTTGGGCTGTAAAATGTATCGAAAATTAGCACCAAAAATTCACAAAAATTATCACCTCAGTGTGGGTTTTGGGGAGGGCTTTTAGACCACTCAGATGTTCACACTTTCCTCATCAATTGTCCCCTCTTGGAAAGGGAACACAGAGCCCTTGGAGGTTTTATTTGAGTGCAACATTCAGCACAATGCTGCTGTTTCTCTGCTCCATTGCTCTCAGGGTTGTTGAGCTGTTCCATTAATGGGATGGCTTACATTCTGTTTCTCTCATTTTAAATCCAGTGCATTAGGCTTAGCATTAAAACGTTGATATTCTAGATGGAAATATTAGATGTAATTTGGATATTTATTTTCAGAAAAAAAATAACAATGAGGCTATTCATTTTATAGCAATAGGTCAGCATGTCAAGAAGCCATAAATGTTTTCTATTACTGTTCTTTTCTTGCAATATTTACAGCATTATATTAAAGAGAGAAGATAATATGTGATTTCATGCAATTGAATATTTCTTCATCATATTTTTGTAACTGACTTGATCATCTCACTCATTCTAAAATCTTCAAGCAAAGCCATGTGCTGGTGCTGGTTCCACCCCTCAGGAGGACAGGGATGGTGTCCATACAGACTTTAGGAGCAGGGTCACATTTCTCTATCCCCCAGATCCTCACCCTATTTTCCTATTCCAATAAAGTCCCACCAGGAGCTCAGGTGAGCATGGATCAGCATCCAGCATCAATGCAGAACCAAACCCAACCACCTTATCCCTCTGCAGAGAAATAGTCACGCTTTTAGAGAAGGGAGAATATGACTGAGAAGATTAAATATGATTTACTGAGTTAAACACAAGATTATAATCTTTAGAAATGCTGTAACAATTATATAGGTCAAAACCAGAGATAAGTCAGACAGTAATTAAAAAAATAAAAACCAACAAAGCCACCAAAAACCCTGCAACAAAACTCTAAACTCATTTAAATATTAACTAAATCTCCATTATCTATTGCTGTGGATATTTAGGGTTTTTATAGCTAAATCAAGGTGTGCTGTCTGCACAAAGCCTCCAAAGCTGCGACCAAAGCTGAGATATCCATGGAAAATCTGTTCCCTACAAGGCCCTGAAGGTTTCTAAACATGGGGAAAGCTTGAGGCAAAGTTCACCTGCAGAACTCCCGTAGTGGCACAGACAAATTTCCCTCTTCTTTTTGCAGATTTTCTGTGATTCCCACTGCTGCTTTGGACAGGGTGCCAGTTTGGTTTGTGTTTTGGTCTGGCTGGGCCCGTTTGTTTTATTCTCCAAAGCATTTCAAATCCCAGCTAATATTTTTGGATCAGCCGCGCAGTGACAGCAACGTTGGCTTCTTTCCCCCCTCCATAAATAAAGCTTCAGAAAAACCAACATATTACAGAGTATTTTCTAGTGGCCCGTGCTATTTAAATCCCCTGGGAGGGCTTGAGGAACACAAACACATTTTTCCAGGGACACCAGCTGCAACTGGGAGAGCTGTGAGCCCCTGCCATTGTCCCCAGCTGTCAACACGTGGCATGATGTCACCGGGCTGGTGGTGGCACACGAGGTGACGACAGGCGCTCAGCAGCACCTTCTGCTCCCTCCCCGCTGGCCTTGGGCACAGCTCTGCTGGTTTGCATCTTTTAATGCCTCACTTCTGATTTCTTTTTGGGGTTGAAATTGCTGGTTAAGGGGCAGCCAGCCTGAAAAGGGCTTTGATCCCAAATCTCTCCATTTTGGCGCTTGCAGGGTGGAAATCCTAAGGGCTGGGTGATGTCTTCCAGCAGTTATTTGAGAAGGTCCCATGCAGCTGCATTTCTCTTCACAGGCACAACTTCCCAAAGATATTTCTGGGAATCACAGCTCTGAACCTCAGAGAAGGAAAAACCAATTCTTATCTCATTTACTACTCCTGTGTTTTAAACCAAGTAGAATGCATTGTGGAAGATAGTATACCTGAAAATAATTAGTAATTAGGTTCTGGTGTGAGTGTTTTGATTCACTGACCAATTGAATCCAAGTGTGTGTGTCGGGACTGTCAGCTGACAGTCACAATTCAAAAACAAAATCCAAATTCTAAACAATTGAGTCAAGTTGAGTGCTTGTTTAGATTCAGTGTAATATAGTGTAATATAAAATAATATCGTATAATAAAGTAATTAATTAACCTTCTAATAGGATAGAGTCCTCCTTCTCTTTCTTGCCTTGTTGGGGTTGCCCTGCATTTCCGATAGTCCCACTGGTGAGAATTTGGGATGTGGAGAACCACTCTGCTTTGGTGACCAAATATGAAAATAATGCTCTGGAAATGCTCAGTTCCTCAGCATGTTTGGTGTCCCAGGAGACCCCAACAACTCCAGAGACCGAGAGAAAATTCCCCACAGGAATAGACTGAGAAGTATTTGCACTTTGGTCAGGGTGAATGCTGCCTCTGCATTGCTCCTTGAATAGAATATGCCACTAGAATATAAACTGAAGAGAAAGTTCTAACAATCCATGAAATACGCTGAAAAAGCACATTTTAAAAGCTATAATTTAAAAAATCAAGACCTACTTAATTCTCTCCTAAAACTCTCGGATGAATTTCATTAAGTGTAGAGAAAAAGTCCAGTTCTTGGTGTTTTCTCACATTAATTCAGACTTTGGATCCTTCTTTAAAGAGACTCACCCTGTACTTCTTCCAGCTCTTTTTTGCAACTGTTTTTTCATGCTTGTTTTCCACTACTGACTCTGTTTCTGATCATTTTCAGATGTTTAAAGGATTTGAAAAGCTCAAGGATGTCCAGTATGTCTACACTCCTTTTGATTCATCACTCTGTGGAGTGAAACTAGAAGCCAACAACAAAAAACAGTACCTTCTAACAGGTAAAATGAGCAAAGTCAATGCTCCTGGAGATTCAGAAGTGCTGCTTGGAGTGAATTTGCTAAAATATGCAAAAGAATGCATTTATGTACTAAATACAAACACAGCAGGATGTAAAAATTGTGTTCAGCTGTCGTTTTGGTGTGACCTTACACGTTTTCCACCCTTCCTGCAGCACTCTTAGAGCAGTTCCAGAGGAAGGGAAGGTCAATGATGATATAATCAGTAACTAGAAGGAATTTTGATTCAATATTTGCCATTATTATTTGATTAAACCAACAGTACTGATTTTCCCAAGAATGCAAAAGTGCATAATGAGAAAACACCTGCCTGTGTGTCTGCAGGCCTGGGGTTCCAAGTAACTACAGATTTTTCCAGACATCCTAAAATCCAGTTTAACTGCATTTGCATCCACCCCTTGCTGGTAGACTATCAACATCTTTAGAAAAATATCCTTCTTCAATCTTTTACTTCCATCCAGCATGAAATTAGGAGAACATTTTCTCTGTTATAATTAAATTAATTTAAAAAATTTTAGAGTATGACTAATTTGATACAATTAGTTAAAAGCTCAAGGTATTCTTACACTTCTAATATTTAGAAAGCACTTTTATTGCTTTGATTTCTTGTGTTTTCCATGCTGCAGGACAAATTTTAAGTGATGGCAAAGTGCTGATCCACTTGTGCAACTACATTGAGCCGTGGGATGATTTATCCTTGTCTCAGAAAAAGAGCCTGAACCAGAGGTACCAGATGGGCTGTGGCTGCAAGGTAAGTGCAGAGCAGATAAATTTAAATAAATCACATTTATTCACATTTTTGAGAATAAACCTTGGTTCAAAGGAAGCTGTAATGTGAGTGCAGAGCAGATAAATGGAAATAAACACCATTTGTTCCCATTTTTGATAATAAACCCCAGTTCAGAGGAAGCTGCAAGTCAGACTAATTTCAGAGCAGATAAATGCAAATTAATCATATCTAATAATATTTTGGAGAATAAACCTCCGTTCAGAGGAAGCTGCCAGGTGAGTGCAGAGCAGAAAAATGTAAATAAACACCATTTTTCTGTATTTCTTGAGAATAAACCCCAGTCAAAAGAAAGCTGCAATGTGAGTGCAGAGCAGGTAGATGTAAATAAACACCGTTAATTCACATTTTTGAGAATAAACCCCATTTCAGAGGAAGCTGCAATGTGAATGCAGAGCAGATAACTGCAAATAAGCACTGTTAATTCACATTTTTGAGAATAACCCCATTTCAGAGGATGCTTCAGGGTGATGAGTGCAGAGCAGATAGATGTAAATAACCATTAATTCCCATTTTTGAGAATAAACTCCAGTTCAGAGGCAGCTGCAAGGTGAGTGCAGAGCAGATAGATGTAAATAAACACCATTTATTCCCATTTTTGAAAATAAACCCTAGTTCAGAGGAAGCTGCAAGATGAGTGCAGAGCAGATATATGTAAATAAACACCGTTAATTCCCATTTTTGAGAATAAACTTCGGTTCAAAGGAAGCTTCAGGGTGAGTGCAGAGCAGATAAATGTAAATAACACCATTAATTCCCATTTTTGAGAATAAACCCAATCCAAGGTGGCTGCAAGGTGAGTGCAGAGCAGGTAAAAGTAAATAACACCATTAAGTCCCATTTTTGATAATAAACCCCAGTTCAGAGGAAGCTGCAATGTGAGCGCAGAGCAGATAGATGTAAATAACACCATGAATTCCCATTTTTGAGAATAAACTCCAGTTCAGAGGAAGCTGCAATGTGAGCACAGAGCAGACAGATGTAAATAACCATTAATTCCCATTTTTGAGGCTAAACCCCAGTTCAGAGGAAGCTGCAATGTGAGCGCAGAGCAGACAGATGTAAATAAACGCCGTTAATTCCCATTTTTGAGCGTGCCCGCAGCCCGAGGCGGCTGCAGGGTGCTGAAGGCCTCTCTCCCCAGATCACCACGTGCTACACGGTGCCCTGCTCCATCACGGCGCCCAACGAGTGCCTGTGGACGGACTGGCTGCTGGAGCGGCGGCTCTACGGGCACCAGGCCCGCCACTACGCCTGCATCAAGCGCAGCGACGGCACCTGCAGCTGGTACCGGGGCGGGCCGCCCCCCGAGAAGGACTTCATCGACATCAGCGAACCCTGAGCGCTCCCCGTGCCCAAAATCTGCCCCTGGGAGGCTCCTTCCGTGCCACCCACAGCCCCGGCTCCGAGCTGCCCGCGTGCCTGGCCTAGAAACGAGCGCCAGTTGTCCCCAAAGGGCCTGTGGGGCTGGCACTGGTGCAGGACGAGGGACAAACCTCCTGGAGGCACCTGCTCTGCTCTGTTATGCTTTGCACAGAGGGCTGGCAACGTCCTCCAAGGCACAACAAATCCCCTTTTTTTGCCAATATGAATGTACAAGAACAAATTTTGCCAGAATTTTGCCCCCTGTTTTGATCGCCTGCAGATTAAGAGCTCCCTGTGTTCTATTCCAAATCTTTCCGATGAACTACGGAATGTTTTATAGAACTATTTTTTTTTTTTTCTGTATGAAAGTCTTGGATATGAAAGAATTATTGTACAGTGTATATGTAAAGTATTATAACAATGTGCTATTAAAAAAAAATCACAAATATTTCCTTATCTGTTGAAACAAGTTGAACACTTCTGTGATTAAAACAATCTGTGCTCCACATTTTGTACTTTCCTTATGTCACAGCTTCCTTTATCCGCAGAGTTGTAGCTTCCATTGATAACTAAATCAAGAAACAGCCTTGATAATCAAAACCCCCTTTCCAAGTCAGCATTCCTATGGACTAACCACACCTTGCTGAAGGAAAAGTCAGATTTTTAATCCATGGGTTAAAGCATTAATCCATAGATTTAAGCTTTCCATGGAACAAATTCTAAGCCCAAATGATGACAGGCTAAAACTGCTCAGAGCTACAAAAACTGTGTCCATCCTCAGGGCAGCTGCAGCCCTTAAAACCTCCCTAAATACATGACCAGTACTTGTACCCCAGCACTGTTAAAACTTTAGAAACTCACCTGAAAATACATGCAATAAATATTGCATAACTTACACTGCATGATTTCTGGAAGCTCTCAGATATGTGACCCTGTTTGATAGGATTTAATTGTTTTTCATTCATGAACACCCACCATGCCCTGTCAGTGAATTTGGCTACTTGTCAACTCAAACTAGAGAAGGGTTACAGCACATTTTGCCTGTAACTTCTTTAGTGTCATAACTTTCCTGAATTGATGACTGGAGTTAGTAACTAATCCTTCACACACATATTTAAGGTTATAAAAATAATTCAGTTCACAGTGGTGAAACTTTGGGAAGTGTAAATGCCAAAGTCCAGACTATTTGTTCTCCAGAAAAAAGGGGCAGAGCCCTCAGGCAGGATGGGAATCTCCTGCAGCTGCCTTTTCTGACAGATGTTACTATCTAAAGGACAGGTTTGGAAATGCTCTTCTAAAAAAAGATTAACTTTTTCTGTGACTAATTTTACACATTTCCAGTGACATGCAAATGCTGCAAGGCCAACAGGAAAACATGTCATTATCCTTTGAGGAATATGTGTCCCTCAATACATAAAAGCCAATGTTTCACTTTTTATTTACTATAAATCAGTCTGGCTCTTTTCATTTACAACCCTAAATTAAAACCATATATATGTGCTGCCAAATGTAAAGCCCAGTTTGTTTTCTGCTTTACTCAAGACAAACCAAAATTTTCCCAACACTAACAATTTGGACCACAGACTTACATAAATGAAACAAAAAGAATAAAAAGCTACATTTTTTTCCAAAAAATAATTGATATTGCAGTAACACTATCGGCAGAGCTATTTACTGACAGTGCTGTGCATTTATATTATTAATTTCCAGAAAAATTCAAAGCCAGGCCTTATTTCCTTGTGTCAGATCAAACCAATACCTAGGGAAGCCCACAGAGTTTAATAACCACAAAGGTTAATTTTCAGTGGTCAATATTCAGTGGTTAATATTCAGTACCAGTCCTGTATCATTTGTCTCCAAATCCATTTTGATGGGATGGTGCTTTTAGAATAACAGCAAACAGGTATTTTCTGCTTTTTAGCTCCCCAGAGCTCTGGTCCTATTTCAGTTTTACAGTAATTAGCCCTGAACCTCAACTCACCCAGCCCAGATTGCCTTCTCTGTGCACCTTGCACAAAGAAATGCTTTCTCTGATATTTATGGACAGACTGCAATACAAATTTCATGCCACAGCTAGTTTTAAAAAATTTCCTACTTTTCCTGCTATAAAATATCCCTCATGAGGTGTTTCACAATGAAGGTCTGTCTACTTTGATTTCTGGCTGAGCAGAAATCTGCCCAAACTTCCCACAATGGAAGGTACCAAGATTTGTTTTTTCCCCCTCATATCAATAAATGTGGCAAGAAAAGCTTTACACAAACCTGGCTCAGAATGAGATTTCCCCGAGGAAGACTCTCAAAAGGCTTGACTACAACGTGGCATTCTGAATATGTTATTTTAATATCAGGATTTTTACTGTAGTGGCATGGATACCTTATCAACAGCAGATTCTTTTTACAACATTTTCTTTTTACTTCTTGAAACTGTGTTTGTGTTATGTGAGAGGGTGGAGCAGAAATACGGCCTGGCACAGCATTTTAATTTAATTTGAAAATGGCTTCACATGACTTTTGGTGAGAGTAGGGAAAAGAAGAGAGAAGGGAGACTGTATAGGTGAACAGGGGAAAAATCACCACCTGGAATATTGCTGGTGTTTCCTCAACGTTCCAGATAGGTTTTAATTAAATTGTTCAGCAATTACATTGGGAAAGCCAATGTGTTGTTTTGACAGAGAACAGAGGAGGTGGGAATGGAGTAAAATAAAGGGAACTAATTACTGAGGGAAAGGCTGTAGGTATGACTCAACCAGCAATGAGTTCAAAAGCCTCACAGCGTTTTTGTGATCAGTCTGGGATGAACATTTCTGTTTCAAAAAGTGTTTCATTAAAGCAGCTCCGTTTTTACACAAAAGAATGGCATCTTTGTTTATTTACCTTGCACTGCCTAAAACCTCGGCACAAATCAGGAGAGGGTGGAAGAAGCACCTCCGGCATGCTCAGCTGACCCTCAATTCCCAGAAGTTTGGGGCTTTTTCCCTCTCCCCACATCCCCCATGAGCTGGTTTGCATTGAAGGGGGGGACAGCTCCAGGTTCCCATTAGGAGAACAAAAAGGGAAGGAAAAAAATCAAGAGGAACACGGAAAAAAAAAATTAAACTGTAATTGCCAAATTCTGCATCAACAAATGCCAGTGAGGCCAGCTATTGATGAAGTGTTGAAAACCAAAACAAAATAACATGATATGGTTTCAGTGCAGCATCAGAAGACTCTGATTTCCAGCTCATCTTACAACCCACTCCAGAAATTCAAACAAAATGTTGTCTTGTACCACATTGCCTGATTATTTCCCAAGCCACAAAGTTCCAGATGCTTTCTTCAGGAGAAATAAAACCAAACAAATGAGTGTCATCACAGGCAGCTCTTGCAGCAGTTCTCAGTGGCAATGCAATACCCAAACGGATTCATTTTCTCTAGATTAATGTTCATTACCATAGAAATACGTAAAAAAAAATAATTTGGCTGTGGAGAATGACATTCAAAAGTTAAAAAAAAAAAAAAGAGAAATAATTTATAAGTTCTGGCTTTAATGAGCAATGTAGAGGCATGAAGACAGGGAAAACCACTTACAGGGTTGCTACACTCAGAAAAATATGCCATATAAACTTATAAGTCTGACACATTAGTTCTTGCCCCAAAATGAAATGTTCTTTGTTTCTATGGACTGCAGTTTAGCAATGCACCCAAAAGTCCCGCTTTTTTCAATACAATTGCAGCCAATCTTAAGTTTGAAGGATCCCTTAAGAGTCATTGTGTCCCACTCCCTACTCCTCACTGCTGCCTAAAACTGAACCACACCCTAAAACCATCATCCAGGTGCTCCTTGGACTCTGACAGGCTCATCTATGTTCTTCTTCTGCTGTCTGTTAGCACTGGGAACCAGTGTTAGCTCAGGTACCTGAAGATCACAAGTCACAACCACCCTGATTTTGGGTGAGTTCAAAGCCCTGCAGTGCCCAGTGCATCACCTCCAAAGACCACAAACAGAGTGCACTAGCAAGGACTGGGGGGAAACAAACCATGGAAGTGACTCCTGCACTTCCAGAGCTGTTCAGTGTCTTTGTAGGCATTTAATCTCCCTGAGATCTGCAGCTGGGCAGCTGAAAAGTGACCACTGTCCCATGTGGGCACCATCCAGCTCACCATCACAGTGAATTCAAGCGCTCACCCTGTCCCTCCCCCTGAAAGCTGCCAAAATGACTTTTGGAGGAGGCAGTAAATGGGGAAGGGGATTGTGCCCCCAGTCCCTGTTTTACAGGCACAGGGAGCAGGGCATTGTGTCCCCCAGACCCTGTTTTACAGGCACAGGGACAGGTATAGCCCTGCTCTTGGCACCTACCATCTCCTTGTGGTTCGGGTAGAACGTCTGCTCGATCAGAGGGAACTTCTCTGGGCCCAAAGTTTTGTAGACAGACACCAGCTGGGCAAACTGCAAAACAAAGCAGAGCAAAACAGAGCTCAGGAGAGAAACCACACTGTGCCCACATGAGCTCCTACTCAGGACATTTTGATTCTTGTCCTGGGTGTTTGATAAACTCAGCAGACCCAGGGGTGCATCCTCTCTCCTCCTCCTCCTCCTCCTCCTCCTCCTCACACACCCCTTTAATCCACCCAAGCTGTGACTTCATGTACAGACCAACACAGAGAAACACCTGAAAGGTTAAACCCTCACAGGTACAGGAGATGAAATACATGGGAATACTGGATTTCAGATATCTCATTGTCTGTATGTTTGAAGATGATTCTGTGATGATAAAATCATTATAATTCTGTCTTTTCTGTCATCTTAAACCCAAAGCCCAGGCATATTTACCATTTATTTAGTGGCTGGCACCTCTCTGACATTGATTTGGCAATGCTGGCAAAGAGATAAAAGTAACTGTGCCATGCTAACAGGGCAGATGAGGAACAGACTGGAGAAGATTCATCTCCCAGGCTGCAGCCTCGAGCCATTCCCACACGGCCATGGGCGTGATTTAAACTGCTCCCTGTTATGCCAATCCTATCCATGTTTTTTACAGAAAATTCTGATATAGCACCACATGTTGTATCTGATATAGCACCACATGTTGTATCAGAATATTCTTGTCCCTCCACCAAAGATGGGGATGATTTAAGCTGCTCCCTGTTATGCCAATCCTATTAATGTTTGTTTATAGAATATTCTGATGTAAAACGTAGCCATTCTTGCCCCACCACCAAAGATGATTTAAACTGCCCCCTGTTATGCCATTCCTATTCATGTTTTTTTCTAGAATATTCTGATAAAACATGTGGCCACCCTTGGATGGGGCTGATTTAAACTGCACCACATGTTATATCAGAATATTCTTGTCCCTCCACCAAAGATAAGGATGATTTAAACTGCTCCCTGTTATGCCATTCATACTGATGTTTTCTATAAAATATTCTGACATAACATGTGGCCATTCTTGCACCACCATCAAAGATGGGGATGATTTAAACTGCTCCCTGTTATGCCAATCCCATTAATGTTTTTTATAGAATATTCTGATATAACAGTATGTGTTATAGATGAGGATGATTTAAACTGCTCCCTGTTATGCCATTCCTGTTCATATTTTCTATAAAATATTCTGATATAACATCACATGTTATATCAGAATATTCTGTCCTTCCACCAAAGATGGGGATGATTTGAACTGCTCAATGTTATGCCAATCCTATTAATGTTTTTTATAGAATATTCTGATATAACAATATGTGTTATAGATGAGGATGATTTAAACTGCTCCCTGTTATGCCATTCCTGTTCATATTTTCTATAAAATATTCTGATATAACATCACATGTTATATCAGAATATTCTGTCCTTCCACCAAAGATGGGGATGATTTGAACTGCTCAATGTTATGCCAATCCTATTAATGTTTTTTATAGAATATTCTGATATAAGAGTATGTGTTATAGATGAGGATGATTCAAACTGCTCCCTGTTATGCCATTCCTAGTCATGTTTTCTACAGAATATTCTGATTAAACACATGGCCATATAACAGTATGTGTTATAGATGAGGATGATTTAAACTGCTCCCTGTTATGCCAATCCCATTAATGTTTTTTATAGAATATTCTGATATAACAGTATGTGTTATAGATGAGGATGATTTAAACTGCTCCCTGTTATGCCAATCCCATTAATGTTTTTTATAGAATATTCTGATATAACAGTATGTGTTATAGATGAGGATGATTTAAACTGCTCCCTGTTATGCCATTCCTGTTCATATTTTCTATAAAATATTCTGATATAACATCACATGTTATATCAGAATATTCTTGTCCTTCCACCAAAGATGAGGATGATTTAAACTGCTCGCTGTTATGCTATTCCTATTAATGTTTTCTGTAGAATATTCTGATTAAACACATGGCTATCCTTGGATGGGGCTGATTTAAACTGCTCCCTGTTATGCCATTCCTACTCATGTTTTCTGTAAAATATTCTGATATAATATTCTTTTAAAGCTCCCGTGGCATATCCTGCCTACCTGTACTCTGGGCTGCAGCAGCTTCACACAGAACATTTACATGTAAGACAGAGAACTCTATGAAACAGAGATGGGTTTGGGGCTGTTGTCTCTCTTTGCTGAGCAGATACCTCTCCTCTGGTAACAGTTGGGGAAGGAAATCCCTCCAGAGCCCGGGCTGAGGTTTCCAGGGAGCAGGAGGCTCTGGCAGCCCAAGGGCAGAGCTGTTCCAGGCTCCAGAGCCCTGGCTCGGCCGTGCCTGTGATGTGTTCAGCTGTCACCGTGCCAGCGTGGGACATAAACAACTCAGCACAACACTGAATAGTGGGATTTGCTGCTTGCAAACAGCACAAAAAGCACAGAACAATAGAACTCTGTCCATAATGCAGATAAAATACCTACTCTGAGGAGAGGCTCGGGGGCTGGGAGAGCAAAAACTGTTTAAAGGGAAAAAAACCCAAGAAAGCTTTGCTTGCATTTCCAGCTGGCAGAGGGGACTTGTTTAATTTAGTGGTGTTTACTTAGGTTTGGTAAAATACATCTTTAAATTTGGAGGGCCAGTGGAAAATACCTTAATGATGAGCAGTCTTCACCAAAAGCCTAAGGAATTGTAGCTGGGTTGTGGGCTGTGCAAATCAGGCCTCAGGGAAAGGAAATATTATCACAGCTACCAAAATAAGGTGGTTTGTGAATAGGATTCCTAACAAGTTACCCAATATTTCAGTTCTGATCCGAGAGCCGAATTCCAAATTCCACAAGAAAATACTACCATTAAATACATAATTTTTGCCAAGCAATTGTTAGGTTTAAATAAATCTATTAACCTATCTTTAAGTAAAAACCTCCAAAGTAAAAAAATAAAATCATATGATTGTGTTTCCTGTGATTCTTTCCCTACTTTCTTTTCCATTTTCCCTGGATGGGAGCAAAAGACACTGAGAAAATGGCATTTTTTTATTTTTTTTTTGTAGGGGTTATGGCATTCATGCAAGAGGTAAGAAAGCTGTAATTGAGATTAATTGCTGGCAAATGTTTGTTTACTTAAAATAACATACTATCAACCACAGACAACAGACATGTATCACTCCAATAATCCAGTAATTCAGCTAGGAAACAGCAGGTAGGAAAAGCAGGTTTGAGTTTTTGAGGGAAAAGAGAGAAATCTCTCAAACTGCCACAGCTGGGGGATGATTTATCCTTTACCCTGCTGAGATGCTGCTTCACCTCCACATTTACAAATCTGGAATCCCTTGTCAATCATTCCCCCCGCCCCCAAAATGCAACCTGATAAATTCAGCCCCAATTCACACCAAATTTCAGCATTCTAATTGTGCATCCATAAATTGCCATAAATCCTTTTTATTTCCCCTTATTGCTGCTGGGCTATTCATAAAGAATTTCATTTAAGTTTTAATGACCTTCTATCAATTTTTAAGTGGGATTGGGACTATATATTTTTATATTTTCCTTTTCAGCAGCTGAACACCAGTCCTGGGCAGGAGCATCATCTTTTTAGATGATAAACTACTGAATTGTGTAATCCATTGTCAAATGTTTACAGACATGGGATGTTCATGAAATAGAAAATATGATCAGAGCCAGTGAAGTATTTTACATGGATATCAAAGGCCATAATCATCTAAAAGCCCCCCAGCTCCTAGAGCTTACTATTTCAGCAGAAGTAATTTTTACATTTTAGGAAAAAAACCAAGAAAATGGAAAAATGTTCTCAGTTTATCAAGCAGAATTTACTTCTCATTTTCCAATATTCCATCTTATTTCCAGTCAAAAAGGGATATCCTCAGGTACATGTGTTTACAGTTTACAGATTGGTTTTTTTTAAAGAAAAATGGTTGGGTTTTGTAGCATTTGTTATAATTTCAGCTCTTTCCTAGTCAGGATAAAATCCTTCCACACCCAGGCCAAGATTGTTCCTTTATAACAGAACAGGACAGTGACAGCAGCTGTGCTTTTTCTCCTCTCCAACAAGGTGTGACACAGAGAAGAAATGTTTAGTAAAAAAAACCATTTATTTCCTTTGATTTCATATCAAATCTTTCTGGGGTTTCACCACCCCAAGACTGGAGCTCTAAATTTGACTGTACAGATCTTGCTCTAACCAAGCAGGAGCTACCAAAAATCCCTTTGCTGTCTCCATAAAGAGTCATACAATTCCTTTGCTTGTCACCCTCGAGGAGTTAAAATGTGTTTAATTCCATCTCTGCCACCTCTGAGGGGCTGGGGTTTGTTCCTGAGCAAACCACACCAACTCCTCCCTCGAAGATAATCAGATATGATATTTAAAACCAATTTACCATTAAATACATAATTTTTGCCAAGCAATTGTTAGGTTTAAATAAATCTATTAACCTATCTTTAAGTAAAAACCTCCAAAGTAAAAAAATAAAATCATATGATTGTGTTTCCTGTGATTCTTTCCCTACTTTCTTTTCCATTTTCCCTGGATGGGAGCAAAAGACACTGAGAAAATGGCATTATTTTTTTTTTTGTAGGGGTTATGGCATTCATGCAAGAGGTAAGAAAGCTGTAATTGAGATTAATTGCTGGCAAATGTTTGTTTACTTAAAATAACATACTATCAACCACAGACAACAGACATGTATCACTCCAATAATCCAGTAATTCAGCTAGGAAACAGCAGGTAGGAAAAGCAGGTTTGAGTTTTTGAGGGAAAAGAGAGAAATCTCTCAAACTGCCACAGCTGGGGGATGATTTATCCTTTACCCTGCTGAGATGCTGCTTCACCTCCACATTTACAAATCTGGAATCCCTTGTCAATCATTCCCCCCGCCCCCAAAATGCAACCTGATAAATTCAGCCCAAATTCACACCAAATTTCAGCATTCTAATTGTGCATCCATAAATTGCCATAAATCCTTTTTATTTCCCCTTATTGCTGCTGGGCTATTCATAAAGA